TACTTTCTTTCTTCTCCTCCCCTTCCCCTGTATCACGCATCAAACACGTAGAAGAGCAAATAAAAAACATGACTCCGTAAGAATTTGACTGGCCAATGAGGGCAAGAAAAGAAGGAAAAATATTCCACTAAAGTGCTCTTTCAAGCAGCACATAAAGTTGTCTGAAGGCTAAATTTTTTTTTATCCCCCACTGGAGACAGTTCAAATTTTGAAGTCAGAAGGTTTACTAATTAAGATCTAACTCTGAAGCTCTCAAAGATGTCTCTTCCCTGCACAGACTTCTACAGTGTTTACACAGCAACGTGGGGTTCCAAAGACAAGGTATAAAGGACGTAAAAAATTCATTTGGGTTAATTTTGGGGAAATGGGAAAAAGATTCCTTAGGTTTGACTGACTCTACCTTTCAAGTTTCTAGCTATTACTTAAGAGAAATTTGAGGCTTGGAGATAGGAAAAATCAAACAAACAAACAAACAAAAAAGAGTAAGGACAGCGAGAAAGAAAATGCAAAGTGCAGTTTCTAGCAATTGTCTGAGTAAGAGTTGATACGCATAGTAAATCCTCTCCACCCACATGGGAAACACCTTAGTTCAGTATTTTTAACTTCCATTTCTTTTGGGGGGGGTTGGGGGTAGGTAATTAGGTTTATTTATTTTTTTAGTGGAGGTACTGGGGATTGAACCAAGGACCCTCCTGCATGCTAGGCACGAACTCTACCACTGAGCTATACCCTCCTCCCCAAGTATTTGGAAATGTAAGTAACATTAACTTTAGTACAAGAATTATTCTAAGTATCACATCCTTCAGGATGCTAATACGCAGGGACAGTGCCCCTATCAGTCCTAACTATCGATCCTTGTTCCAGAAGTAACACAGCCAATTTTGACAGTTCCCCTAAAATCCTGAGTTTTCGGATACATTCATTTCCGTGTAAAAATATTCTCTTTTCTGCTCACATCAGTGCCCTCAACTGTGTACATAAATGGATGCCACTTCTAGCAGCACTAAGATTGTGTGCATTGCACATTTTTACTCAGACCACCCAGAGCTGTGGGTGTGACTGGGGCGGTGGACGACCAGTCAGTGGGAATCTTGGGGCTGTGGTCTTCACAGGCTCCTGGGCTGCGACAGGCGAACCACTGAGCTTCTACGGAACACAAACCTCAGTGGCCTTTAGAGACATACCGATAATAATTAATAGCAATAATGAGAGAAAGAAAAGCAGGTTACCTGCTGTACACCGAGCACACTTAACCATGTGCTGAGTGCAGTTCTAAACCCTTGATAAATATTATCTCATCTGATCCTCACAAAAGCCATATGAGACAGGAACTCTCATTATCCTTGTTTACTAGATGAAGAAACAGAAGTTTCTAGAAGTTAGTAAGTGATGGAGGCAATATATGAACACAGATTTGCCTGATTCTAAAGCTTGTGCTATAAATCGAGGGTCAGCAAACTATAGCCCACAGGCTGAACTTGACCCCGGTGCCTTTTGGAGGAGGGGGGCGCAAAGAAATTTTATTGGAACACAGCCACGCTTACTCGTTTACATGCAGAGGCACGAGGCTGTGACAGACACCCTGTGGCCTGCAAGGCCAAAATGGTTTACCAACCTTCCAGAAGACTGCTAAAT